GGATGAAGTGTCTTGAAAAAAGCTCATATTTTTACAGGGCTCCTGTTGAGGTTATTGGTAAATTTTCGATGCCCCCCTCCAAATGTTTAAAATTTTCATTGCCCCCCCTCCGGAATTCGGAATCGAAGGAGTACAATCTGGAATTCTCTCTTATCGTAGATACGATTTGCAGTTCCTCAAGATGTCTGATATACTCAAGCATGTGCTTCTCCTCAACAAAAATACCGACCTGCTGCTTCTTTCACCTCACTAGCTCCAGATGAAATGGCACCGTCTTTAAAAAAACATTTTAGATTGGCTCTAGGGGCGAAATTATTAACAGGTTGTTGTTGTCCGTCATTCAGCGTAGTCGGTATAGGTGATTTCATGTATCCATTTAGAAGAGCAGATTAAGGATATCTTAAAACTGAAATCGGTTTCGAATACAACCATCAGGGACGTAGCAAAGCATCTGACGTTGGGGATGTTGAGGATTATACGTGTAATAATTATAATAAAGCTTTTTGTGATTGATTGGCACTCTCATACTAAATCTTGGGAGAAAAGGGGGTCTGAGGGTCCTCCCCCAAAAAAGTTTTACATTTTTGAAGCTCTAGGACTGAATTTCTGTAAATTAACCTACCATTATTCGGGGCATTTCTCTTTGATCATCAAAATAACAACGGGCAAGTTGGTCATGGAGGATTTTACTTTATCGGCAAACCACGTCACAAGGCAGTGCCTTTTTTAAGGAATTTTCACTGGGGGGGGGGGGGCAAAACAGGAAAAAAAGGCAGAACGAAAAATATGAGCCGTCGAGGTTTGGCGAACGCGCGAGTCTGAAGAGAGAATTTGTAAAACTTTAATTTATTAACTTCACCTATATTTTACTTTAAACAATATCTTCAACTCTTTGTAGCTATAATCGTACAGCTATAACCAGTGGGGTAGCCAGACCTTCATTTTTTTGGGGGAGGGCGAACCTCACGCCGAAGGCGTGAGACCGTCTAGGAGGGTCCATTTTGAAAAGGGAAAATTTTGAAATCTAGGGTCCCTGAATTGCGATTTCAAGCATTTTGGGGATGAAATCTAGCAGAATTCCGAAGATTATAAAGTACATCGAAGACATGAATTTTTCCAGACATTCATCTACTCGGAATTAAATAAATTGGAAAAGTCACCTTGAAAAATAGGAGGAGGGGTCAGTGTCAGTTAAAAATCTAAACTAAATCTATTCTTCTTGGAACCAGCATTTTATCGGATTGTTTGCATGAAATCTATATCGCTATTATGAAATACTCGGTGAAGAACAATATGAATTACACACAAGATTGGCTGTGGAGGAGGCTATGGAAGGGCATGATCTCATTATCAAGTAAATCAACTGCAATTCTGACAGCAATCATGAGCAATTCTGCTTCGCACTTCGGGGGCAGAAATGGCTTTACTGGGGGGGGGGGGCAAATTCTTTCCCTGGGGGGGCAATTGCCCCCCCCCCAGATATATAGTTAAAAAAGGCACTGTCACAAGGCAAACTTACTAAATAGGTTAATGTGTCGCTGAGTGGCAGATTGTGAATATTTTATTCCTTATATATCTTTGTTATACCTTTTAGTACTATTTAAAACACGACTACAAGTGCTTTAAATAGCTTAAAAAACGACTCATCTTATACGAGTTAATTGGCGAAGAAATTTTTAAAATAAACTTTGTCTAAA